TCTCAAAAAAACAGATATTGCAACAAATGTCACTGAAATACAAAGTACAAAGAACTCTATGCTAATAAATTGGATAATCTGAAGGAAATGGATAAATTCCTTAATTTATCTAAATTATCAAGATTAATTCAAAAAAGGTAAGATAACCTAGACAGACTCATAAGAAGAAATTAGAAGACTCTTAATTACTGGTTCAATCAAGGAAAAGACCAGAGTATGATGGCTTCACTACTGAAATATAAAGGTATTCAAAGAGGAAGTCAGTCCAGTATTCTTCACACTATTGCAAACTATTGAACTGGAAGGAACTCTGCCAAATTCTTCTTATCAGGCCAGAATTATTTTGATGGCAAAACCAAAGACATGGGGCAAAAAGAAAATTACAGGCATATTCTTAATGAACATTAGTCCAAATAGTCTCAACAAGAAATTAGCAAATAAAATTCAACACCACATCAGAAAGATCATACATCATCACTAAAATGGGATTTACTTCAGAAATGCAAGGATGGTTCAATCTGTGCAAATCAGTAAGCATCAAAATCACATACGCAGAAAAAAAGGAAAAAAAGAAAAACATAGTTGTCTCAGTAGAGGCAGAGAAAGCATTTGAGAAGATTAAGTATCCTTCATGATAAAAGTCCTCCACAAATTATTGAAGGAATATGCCTCCAAAGTATAAAAGCTATATATTACAAACCAACAGCCAATGTCCTATTGATTGGGGAAGAGTTGAAAACATTTTCCCTCTTGAATAAGACTCCCAAGCATAAGCAACAAAAAGCAAAGCTAAACAAACGGGACTACATCAAACACAGAAGGTTTCGCACAGCAAAGGAAATTATCAATAAAGTGAAGAGATATCCAAAAAGATGGAAAGACATTGCAAACCAGCTATGTGATAAATGATTAATATTCAGAATATATCAGCAACTTAATTAGCCCAACAACAAGAAAAATGCCAATCCAGTTGAGAAATGGGTAAAGAATTTCAAAAGATTTATCAAAAGGAGAAAATCAAGTGGCCATATACATATAAAACATATATAAATATATATATTTATATACATGTAGTAAAAACGGTGGCAAGGAGGAAGCTGAACAGCCTTTATAAAGAACAATGTGGAGATTTCTTTTAAAATTATGAAGAGATTTGCCATATGATCCAGTCATCCGCTACTGGGTATGTATATTCTAAAGACTTGAACACAATCAATCAAAGAGATATCTGCTCCACTGTGTTTATGCCCGTGATACTCACAGTAGCCAAGACGTGGGATCACTCAAGGTGTCCACCACCAAGTGAATACAGAAAAAGTGCTATATATACACATGGAATAATATCAAGGTATAAAAAAGAATCAAATTCTGTCACTTGCAGCAAGATGAACGTCAGGGAAAGACGTTATGTGAGTGAAATACGCCAGAGCTAGAAGGACAATGTTGCATATTCTTTCTTATAAGTGAGAGCTAATATTAAAGAAGCAACTAATCTGTGGATCAGTACTGCTGTGAATACAGCTTTGTAAAACTGGGCTTTATACTTTTTCAACCCAGTTAAGAATGTTACAACACTGCAGTTTTAATGAACTGTGATTAGAATTCATTATGCGTGAAACGCTCAATTTCCCACTCAGTCGTTGCTTGTAGTCCTTTATGTACCCACTAAACTGTTTTTGCTTAGTTTTTTTATTTGTTTTTGCTTTTTTACTTAATAATTTTCTTGTGAAGTATTAAGTTTTTATTATACTATAAACTTAAAATATGTTATTTGAAAAACTAAAAAGAAAGACAGGGAAAAGGAAGGAGAGTGGGAGACAGAAAGAAAGGGAAATATTTCTAGAAGGGAATTTACAAATCACAGCAAAACTGTTCAAAAAGGCTAATTAAAATAAGTAGTAAAATAAATAATAAAATTCTTTTCTTGAAAAATGTTCATCTCTCTCATCCAGTTCTTCACAAGGTCGTTTGTTTTGCTGTTGCTGAGTTTCTGAAGTTATTTGTAAACCATGAAAGCTAAAAATTTGAAAAAAAAAAAGAGAAAAAGGAGAAAAAAAGAAAGAAGACAAACGCTCAAACGCTTACTCAACTCATAGAAAAATCCTGTTTTAAAATATATCTTACTATTAATACAAATATTTTCAAAAAATGGTTTCTAATATGGAAAAATAGTAAAATAAAATTTAGTCACAAGTCTTGAAACGTGTAGGTGTTTGTTCTACGATTATTTTTATTAAATTTCCATTTTGCCTGAAGAGTTGAAGCCTTTGAGAAAGGCAGGATGTGATGTCCTCACTGTGACCAAGTGATGGACTGGTGTCTGCTGAGCTTGTGTGTGATTTGACTGTATCTCCCACAGGTTCAGGTGCTGGTAGCCTGGGTCCCCCCGTGTGGTCCTGTAGAGTGGTGATGATACTTCCAAGAGGCGGGTCTACAGTAGGTGGTGGTGAGGTCATGAGGGCACTGGCTTCAGAACTTAATGCTGGACTTCACAGGAACACATGAAGTCCATGCTTCTGTTGCTGTCTCTGCTTGTCTGTCATGTTATGATGGAGCCATGACGGACCCTCAACAGGGGCCAACCACACAAGGACACCTGACCTTGGACTGCCAGTCTCCAGGACTGTGAGCTAACTAACCCTGTCTTCTTTATACAGTTCTTGGCTGCAGCTCTTTTGTCATAGCAGCAGGAAGTATGTTGGCACAGCATTCCTCTTCCACTGTCAGCTCTTCCTCACTCCCTCCTGCTAAAGGTATTTTGTGAAAAATTCATTGCTATGGGCCTAGGTAATTAGTTCAGGGTCATACGTTTGGAAGCCACATCTCCTCTGCTTACGTAATCCTTTCTGTCCACCTGTGGGTCAAATGGTGCTCACCCATCATCACGTGGAACCTGAGGACACGGTGCTCCATTGCTGTATAACTACTTCCCTCTCAAGCCCATGTTGGGGAGGGGCTCACTCTCTCGGTCGCTTGCCTCCTCTCGGGTTTCCTAGGTTGTATTTCAGTGCTACGCCTTGGCCTTTCATGTACCTGCTTTCTCTCTTGCTTCCTGCGGATGGACTCAGGGGACAAAGATGGCAATCTCTCTCCCTTACCCTTTTGCTTCCTGGCTCACTCTCTCTGAACATGGCCCCTGTATGTCTACATTCCTTACCCTCTGAATAAACCATGTCACTTTCTTAAGTTGTGTCACTGTCTCTGTTTAAAGTGCACCTAGGAATTAAATATTAGGCCCAATCCTATGCCACAGCAACATGATCAGTAATTCTGCAGCATTAGGGACACTTTGGTGATAGCTTAAATAGTTGGCTGTCCCATCTACTTGTTTCTTTAAACCAATGCATGATAATAGAATTTATATTCAACTAAGGAAATATAATTGTACTGTAGGGGAAAATATGGTAATGTTCACTCAAAAGATAGCACAGAGCCTAACCACAACAACCCTGGATAATCTTTTAGATGTGATCAGTTCATGCACTATTTTAGGGTAAAAGAGCGATAAAAACACAATGAATCTGTTAAATGCATCTTGACAATAGGATGCTGGACTCTCTGCCATTATCCACGCTTACAACGTCAGGATACAATTAAATAGCAGAATGATGGACGTAAGACAGATTGAAAAGTACTATACCATTGTAATGACATAGAGAAAACGAATGTGTGTGGTAGGGGTGGGTAGAGGGGAGAAGGGAAATCCTGGAGCCTATAGAACTTTATTATGGGATTATAAAATAAATTAAATAAAAAAGGAGGACTTGGCTCGGAAACTTAGTGGCTAAAGGCCTTGTCTTATAAAGCTTCAGGATCCCTTATGGATGCCGGTTCATATCCCAGATGCTTCACTTCCATTCCAGTTCCCTGCCTATGGCCTGGGAAAGAAATAAAGAATAGCTCAAAGTCTTGGGATCCTGCACTCACGTGGAAGACCTGGAAGAAGCTCCTGGCTCCTGACTTCGGATCAGTTCAGCTCCAGCCATTGTGGCCACTAGGGGAGTGAACCAGCAGATAGAAGATCTTTCTTTCTGTCTCTCCTTCTCTGTGTAAATCTGCCTTTCCAATAAAGATAAATAAATCTTAAAATAGAAAAAAGAAAAAAAAACACACAGCTTTAGTTAGCTTAAAGATACAAAAGAAAATGGTGGATTAAGTACAGCAACTAAGGAGATTTCGTATAAGAGACGATGCAATCTGTTGAAATAAAGCTCAGTTGAATCAAAGAACATCACAAGGTTGGAGATACAGATAATACCACAACAGGAATCTCCCCAAGACATCATGCTACTCAACTCCTTCATCTAACAGTTGAACCAGTGACCTGCAACCTCATAGTCAACCTAGCAGTTGGGTCAGTTAGTGAGTATCCAGGTTTGGAAAATTTCATCCTAGACCAATAGCTCAGGGTCATCGTGCCTAAAACCATCCATTTTCATTTCTAATTGGTTGAAACATGTCACATGTTATACTGCAAGTATTGTTGAAGATGTTGGATGTAAGGCTGAGAGCGCTCCACTAGCTATGCAGCATTTTGTATGTTGGTGTAAGCTTCCGAGGGCTCCGTAGCACCTAGCCCAGGGGACTCTCCACAGAGAGAGATCTGAGTTCCCAGAGCTGCTTTCCATGATTCTGTGACTCTGATGGTTTCCCACTGTAGCTCACTGAATGAAGTTCATCTCAGAGCTCACGGTAGATATGGATTCCAGACACGGAGCTGTAGTTGCGCTTCACTTTCAGAATATGAGATATCAGAAACAAAACATACGCTATTCCAATTCTAGCGATTTCTCCAACTAAGAACAAAATTCCTATTAAATTTCTTTTTAAAATAATAGAATATATATTCAGATACACTGGTATACTTACCCCAATTTATTTTGTGTATACATATACACACACACTCACATGTGTGCATGCTAAACACAGACCAAACATCAGCTTATAAAACATAAACCTCATCAAAGTCAAAACATGGTCACTGAACGTGGTTGGCTCACCAGCTGTTGGCCTTTAGGGCCCCATCCTGCATACTGAAGCTTTGCATTGCTGACTTCTGGTGGGTCCAGACTTTGAGGATCCCTGGAAAAAATAAATGAGAAACAATACAAAATGATGTAAAGTGGGAACTTCAGCTGCTGCATTAAAAAAAAAAATACATTGATTTTTAAGGGCAAAGAGCGATAGTGAGCAAGCACATGATACTGAGGCAGACTCAGCAATGTCATTCATTCACTGGTTCATCCCCCAAATCTGACAACATCTGGATGGGCCAGTCTGAAACCAGGGGCTCAGAACCCAATTTGGGGTTTTCACATGGGTGGCGGGACCCAAGCAGGTGAGCCATCACTGTTGCCACCTGGGCTGTTTATTAACAGAAGCTAGCTTTTGAATTGGGGCCAAGACTTGTCCCCAGGCCCTCTAACACAGACTACAGGCATCCCAAGTGACATCTTCATGAACCTGCTCCACGACACCATGTATGCTCTTAATTGTTCTCCTAAATGTTTATTTATTTTCATCTGTGAGATCCAGGAGGAGTAGAAGAGGCAGGGAGTTAAGGAGAGAACGAGGGAGAGTGAGAGAGGGAAAGAGAAGGAGAGGGAGAGAGGGAGAGGAAAAGAGAGAGATTGATTGATTGATTGATTGATTGATTGATTTCATTGACTAACATCCAGGACTGGGTCAATCTGAAACCACGAACATGGAGTTCGAAAACTGAATCCAAAGCAGAGGTACTGGGACTTACACAAATGATAATTTTTAATTTTTAATTTTCTCTTTTATTGTACTATTAAGGAATTTGTCTCCTGTGTATTTAATAGGATGTTTCATTCACCCACCATTAGACTATTTCTCATGTGTATAAATTACAGGAAGCTGAAATAGGTCCATCATTGCTTAACACAAGTAGTTATATCCATCAGAGGAAAGCATGCAAGAGTTCACATATCACTTTTTAAGATATCTAAAACAGTCAAAATTAAAACTTGCAGTGCCTGGCCATTCAATTATAGATTCTGACAACTCATAGCCTCCATTTCTGGTTCTCCTAACAGACAGCTTTTCTCTGAGAACATTAGGCCATTCTGATCCTGTCAAACCAGTGGGCACAAGCGTGGACTGCACTTTGGGTTCGTTTGCAACGCAAGAAGGAAAAGAGAGGAGGAAAGGGTAGGAGATGAGAGAAGAGAAAGGAATTACTTTTTTCCTATCACATATCACTCAAATTTTTCATTTTTAAATTACTGATAATACAGCATTCTACTACCAGAGAATCTTGTCCATGGACTTAAAGGTCATAATGGGTCAAGGTAGTGATGAGAAAATGAAGCACAAATCCTCACACTATTGTGAGCAATGAACATTTCAGTGTATTCTGTAGCTACTGTTGGCTTCAGCATGCAGGAAAGATTGATTTCCATGTTTCTTTTTGGTGGTGTCACTCCTCATGAAGAATTACACCTGTACTCTGCTGAGGAGGCTGAATGTCCAGTGAGCAGCCCTCGCTTGGCTATAATGTATGTTATGCTGAAGACATAGCTTTAAATGAGCTCATTCATCTGCACAGGGAATGGCTAAGTGGTCTTTGAAAAAGGAAGGTGCTGAATTTCAGGGTTGTGCTAAGAGAAAACATAACGCTAGATGGGGAGCAATGTGACAAGGCTAAGAATATGCTGACTCAGAAGTAGCATCAGTAGAGAAACCTTGAGCAACTACAAGGAAAAACAGGGAACACAGGTAGAAATAAAAGAGTGGGGGGCTGTGAAGGATTCCGTTAATGCCCCAGGTCGCTTTAGATGAAATTCCTAGAAATGGAGAAATCAAGAAAGCCTGAAAATGAGGTGACGTGAAGCCAAGTAAGAGCGATATCAGTTAGCAAAGAGCTGCTTGAGGGCAGTTAAGGTTGCTGGGACGGGGAGGAGTTATACTTCTCTGAGTTTATTCTGTGTACAATACCAAGTATTAGGTTGCAAGAGGGTTTTGTGTATCGTTTGTGTACACCTAAAATAGACAAAACCAAGAAGGATTAGAATAACCCAACTCTATTATAAAAGGAACACAGATTTGTGTTGAAGAGGATTAAAAGAGGAAAAATATGATAAAGAGAAACAGGATTTGGAGTGTGGGTCCTCAGGGTAAAGATAGAAAGAGCTGTATATGAGTGTGTTCACCGAGTAACTGTCTCACAGGGGTTGGGATTACCAATCATGGAACCACTTATGTATACTAGAATTCAACAAGTATGCGAATTTGTTAATATATTGGAGGTCATGAGATACAGTTTTTTCTCATCATTCAGGATGCAAAGGTATTGGTTGCATTGGAATCACAGGAGTCAGTGTAAACTTGTGGTTGCAAATATATTATATACAGAGAGTTATATAGACAGCTATATATATAATCTGTCCTCTCTCTCTCTCTCTCTATTCATCATCCAGCCATTCGTCCATCTCTCCGTTCGTCCATCCATCCGTCTGTCCATCCATCCATCCACCCATCTTCCCATCCATCCATCCATCCATCTTCCCATCCATCCATCCATCTTCCCATCCATCCATCCATCCATCCATCCATCCATCCATCCATCCATCCATCCATCCATCCATCTAACCATCCATCCATCCATCCATCCATCCATCCATCCATCCATCCATCCATCCATCCATCCACTACTTAGTCCATCTATCCATCCATCCACCCATCCATCCATCTACCCATCTTCCCACCCATCCATCCTTTCACTCTTCCATCCATCCATCCATCCATCCATCCATCCATCCATCCATCCAAAGCAAAGCCAATACATGTCTGTCCTGAAGCACCACCGTTCAACAAAAAATTAGGGCCTACAGGAGAATTAATTGTACCTGGTCAAGGGTATGGAAAAGTCTAAAATTCTTTAGGGATCCAGATGATGATAGTTAAAAAATTAGGGGTCTGTTGAACGAAAGAATAAGCTAACCTGAAAGAATGCCTAACGACAAACATCAAAATCTTACGAATAATGAAATAATTATAGTATTGGATTCATTCAAAATGCTCACTGACCCATTTTAGTATATCTCATATAAATAAATAATGAAATAAATAAATAAAGAGAAGAACATTCATTTAAATTAAATAGAATTTAATAAATGACATAGAAGGCAGGAAGGAAACAGAATGCCCTGAGACTGACAGCCCAGGACTAAATGGTGCAGACATGCTCCACTGCTGGATGTTAAAATCAGAGACTAAAAGTTTGGAGAGAGGCAGGGTACGTATAGTCTCAAACTTCCTGAAGATGTTTATAACCACAAAAAGCAAGATAAGGCTTGACACGAAATAAGCCTGACAAACAGCAACTCAAGTGACCGGAGTCAGTATTCCAAAGAACACAACACTAGTACGAGTGAACCCTTGCTTGGCACACGATACTCTGGGGAGGACAAAGTGTTGCTTATGTAACATTTTTAATAGATAATGTATAGCTGCCCCAATTATGATAAAACACTGGGAAACATCCACATTGAGGGACTCTGCAAAATGACCAACATGCGTCAGAAGTGCAGGGTCATTGCCAGGACAGACAGAGCAGGTGCTACAGCTTGGAAAGCACTAAGGTTGTACAGCATCCAAGGCCAATGGAGTGCAGGACAAGACAAGGACACTGTGAAAATGCTGGTAACAGTACACTAAGCTGCAGGGTTAAGGACACATCAGTGTTTATTTCCTGTTCCTGATCATTATACTGAGGCTTATGAAGTATGCTAACATCAGAAGTGGCATGAGGGAGCCGACACAATAATTCAACTGGCTAATCCTCCACTTCCTGTATGGGTGCCATTTCATGCCACAGCTGCTCCACTTCCCATCCAGCTTCCTGCTTGTGGCCTGGGAAAGAAGTAGAGGATGTCCCAAGTCTTTAGGACTCTTCACCCACAAGGGAGACCTGGAAGAAGCTCCTGGCTTTGCATTAGCTCAGCTCTGGCCATTGTAACTATTTTCAGAGTAAAACAGCAGGTGGAAGATCTTTCTCTGTGTCTCCCCTTCTTTCTGTAGATTTGCCTTTCCAAAAAAAAAAAAAATTTTTTTTTTTTAAAAAAAGTGGCATGGGGAATGCAAAATACTCTGATATTTTGGGAACGTCTCTTTAACTCAAAATTATTTAAAATAATTCTCTTAATAAAGGAATCATCATATCTCAATCTCAAACTTTCTTACAGAAAGGAGCAAACGTTGGATCATTTCTCTTAATATAGTATGACCTCTGTGGTACGAATGGGACTGAAATTTCTTCCATATGGAGCATAGCACAGGCACATGATGTATTTGACTAAACAAATGGACAAATATATATGAGCCATGTAGGAGACTTTGGACAAATATTCTTTTAAAAATTGGGAGGCATGGGACAGCACAGTGGCACAGCAAGTTAGTAGAAGTCTGACTGTGGAGTTGGCATCTCCTCTGGGTGTGGATTTGAATCCCAGCTGCTCTGCTTCCCATCCAGCTTCCTATTTATGGCCTGGGAAAGCAGTGAAGGATGACCCAAAGCCTTGTATCTTGTACCTATGTGGGAGACCTTGTAGAACTTCTTGGCTCCCAGGCTCAGCTCAGCCCAGTTCTGGCCATTGCAACCATTTGGGTGAGTGAACCAGACGGCTGAATATCGCTGTCTGCATCTCTCCATTTCTCTGTAACTCAAGTAAAATAAATAAATCTTTAAAAAATTGAGAGGCAAACCTAATAAAATCACTTGACTTCAGTTTACTTAGAATTTTTCTAAACACGAAACCTGGTTCGGAGACCAGAATAAAATGTTTAACTTCCTCTGCCTTATTTAATATTGAAATTCAATTTGTTAGACTGTGATTTGCAATAGGTGCCTATTCAGGAACAGTAGGAGATTCACTTCTATTTAATCTGAAGAGGGCAGATTCCTATAAACTTGAACTGGAAATATTATCTCCACATGAATGAACTACCTCTCATGATTGCACAGCATCAGGTCCAGTGTGCTATACACATTCCAATTCTATCACCTTCTCTCATTGATGCAAAGAGGGGGTCTTTCCTTCTCTGAATTTAAAATGCCT